GGTTGGTGACAGTGGTGGTGATGGTAGCGGTGGCGTCGTGGTGATGACGATGCTGGTGGTGGCGGTGATGGCAGTGGTTGCAATGATGGTGGTGGTGGTTGGTGGCGATAATGGTGATGGTGGTGGTGACGGTGATAGTGGTGGTGGGGGCGGCGGTGGTGACGGTGACATGTTGGCAGTGATGAGTTGAGGTGGTGGTGATGGTGGCGGTGGCATCGTGGTGGTGGGGGTGGTGACGACGACACTTGTTGTATGATGGCGGCGATGGTGGTGGCGATGGTGATGGTGGTCGTGTCGAGATGATGGTGGTGGTGGTGATGATGGAAGAGGTGGAGAGCAATTGAGAGAGATATGTGTTTCTCATTTTGTGTCTAGGAACAAAAAAGCAAAAAAAATTTGATTCTTTTTTTTGTTCCCCAGCACAAAAATTAAAGCGGTTCATTTCGGGAACAAAAAAATAAATCGGTTGTACCAAATGAGTTTTCTATCTATTTCTGTTCCCGGGAACAGAAATTAAAAAAAATAAAAAAATTTCGAGAAGGTTGTTATACACACCCTAAACATCCACAAATTTATTTCATAACATTTTCCCTTGGATGTTTACACTTTATTATACACTAATTTAGAGATAAAAAGGTGTATGAATAGTAACCACGTATACAAGTGATTACAATATTCATAATAGAGAAAGTGTAGAGGTAAGAAGGTGAAACATCCACAAATTTATTTCGTAACAATTTGAACACATTTTTTTTTTAACTAAAAGGGTATGAAAAATGGTGTTGTTCTATATTTATATAATGGGTCCCACCAATCAGGATTATGCGTCATACATCATGGCATAAACTAATGAATAAAGGAAGTTTGTAATAAAAAAATAAAAAATAAATAAAGGAAGTTTCGTAGGTAACACCGTTGAAGTCTTAGCTTCTTTATCTATTACGAGCGCGCGCACCTCTATGGCTGTGTGTCTATTATTTTGCTGCTGCCTCCTCTAAAGATATTACTAGTTCACATATCTCATTAATTAGTCGAACATTGACATCATTTATGGGAAGATAAAATTCGACTCCCATTTCGTCACGGTAAATAAATGCAGCACAACATAGTATACATCCATCTGTCACCGGAGCCATTTTGCTGCTGCAACAACAAACATAAATAATAGACAAATAATCTTGGAAAACAAACATCTGTTTTAATAGATTTTTAATTAAAACTATATAATTTATGCTTTGACTTTGAATTGTCAGGCTTCCTTTCGTTGTCGATACACCCTGTTGCTTGTATATTTTGCTAAATAAATATTTATTGTCAATGCAGGGTATAAAATTGATTTTTGTCTCCGACTGATACATTGGATTTGAACAAAAACACTCCATTAAAGAACTTGTTGGATATCAGCCAATAGGTGGGCATTGACTATAGCGAAGCTATCGTTGGTCAGTGACTTTCTACGTTCTGTACAAGATATTCTATTTAATTAAGTAGACATTTCCCTTGTTTTTAAGATGAGATTGAATTGGTAGTTGTGCAAAAAAAAAAATCTATACTTTTGTAAACTGAGTAGCTATTTGGCTCAATCTGTAAATATCCGTATACATAGGATTTGCAATTTGTTGCATTTAATTATCGGAAAACATTTTTTTATGTTGCATAAGAATTCAATTTTTATGTTGTGATCTTTCGATTTACGTGCAAAATTTTTCTTTTCTTTTTCTCTTTTTAATAAATGTGGAGCCCACCATTAGTTGAGTTACAACATAAGAATTCAATTCTCATGAGAAAATCAAACCCCTTTAATTATAGTTACTTTATGGGTTAAACATTTCTCCTTTAAAAGGAGAATTGATATCTCATGTGAGTGAAACATAATTGATGGGTCCCACTTGTTTTGAAAAAAACATAAAAGTATAAAGATTTGGCACAAGATTCGATGTTAGTGTAGGAATGATTCTATTCTTATGTTAAAAGATAAATTTAAATCCCTTCCTTTATACATACTAAAGGTGACATCGTCTTAGAAAAACAGGATGTCTACAATGACTGGCCCTGGTCTTGGATATGTTCAAAACAAAGATTCCTTCACTCAGTCATAGAAGCAAATTAAAATCTAAATATTTACACGCTAGACAGGTAGAAAGATGTCTTTCCATTTGTAAGTGGTCAAGGAATTCAAGCCAGTCGTCAGCATCAAAGAATCAGCAACTTCATCTTAGAAAAGTAGGGGCGTTCCCTAAAAGGGAGTCTTAATCCTGCACGAAGAACACATCATCATATGATGTTCATGCATGTGTTACTAAAGAAAATCAGAAAGAATTAGTAAATGGCATTAACATCTTTTCTAGATAATAATCTGCTAGAAAAGTTACATCTCATACCATGTAAAGAAGATACATCACCCAAAAGCTAGCTATGGGAGTGTCCAAGGCCTTATAAACTCCACATTAGTTGTTCATACAACCAACATTGGACTATATATCTCAACGCGCCCCCCTCACACAAGAGCCCATTGGACTTGAAGAGTGGATGATACAACAGGCCCAGCCTACCTGTGCTAAGAAATTCCACAAGAGAAAGTGGGGGGCGGCGAGGTTTGAACTCGGAACACGAAACTTTGATACCATGTAAAGAATCTTAGGATACACCACCCCACTTTCTAGATAATAATCTGATAGAAAGGTTGCATCCAATAACTTGTATGATTATACAGACGACATATTATATGTTTTTATTTGAGTGAGTGTAATACTTTCATAAATTTGAATTTTCCAATTAGTAAAATTTTAGGTGGGTAGTCAAGGAACTTCACATAAAAGATGATGAGAATCAAACCTTTTAAAGAGAAAATAACATGTAAAACTGTTTTAGCTACCGAAAAAGAATACCGCAAAGAACAACGAGCCTGGCAGAATGGTTGCAAGCAGAAAAACACATTTTTTTATTTAGATAAATAATCGTCAGTTGTAACCACAGTTTTTTTTCCCCTCGTTTTTGTTTGGATAGATAAAAGGAGAATTCATAATGATAGAAAGAGAAATTATACAAAGGATTAAGCATTTCTCCAGAAATAAAAAAGACAGAGAGAGAGAAACAAAATAATCATAAAAATAAACCGAGGAAAGTGTAATAACTAAATCGATTTAACAACGTTAATATATTGGAGTTCATCTAAAGAATATGATATTACTTTTTTTTTTTTTATAATTTTACATCTTTTAACAAAATCTTCGTATCTTTTATTATTAAATAGGTAAATAATTTTGCAAAAAAAATTGTGAATTTGTAAATTTTAATAACAACATTAAAAAAAAATTCATGGGTATGTAGATTCTCTCTTTGCACCTTACTCCTCTCTCTTTGTAACATTTTTCTTTCCATCTAACACACTTCAACCCTTTCTTCGATTTTTTCACTCACAACACAACAATAAAAATATGGGACTCACATTATATATAAAATTTACGTTAAAAGTTACAAAATCATAAAAATAAGTTATAAAATTAATTAAAAAAGTTACATACTTACAAATTTTTTTTACTAATTTAGTTAAAAATTACTAAAAAGATAATGTCATACTAAGGGGGCTTAGCGGTGAAAATTCTGCTGCAGTTTAGAAAATTCAAATAAGCTTATCGTCTTATGTATGAAACTCATTTATCACTAATTAAGTCGACAATTCAAATATAAATTTGATATAACTAAGGGAGGATATCCATTAAAGATATCAATCCTAATTTATACGACAACATTAAACATGAGATTGGGCTGCTGAAAGTAGCACAGAAAGTTCAGAATTCAATATCTACAGGTAAACTCTATAAATAGGAGGTAAAACCTACATGTATGATTATTCTCTCTCTATTACTATTATGTTGTCACTGTACACACACACCACCCCTTCGGCGAAAGCTGTTTGTTATTCTTTTGTGCATAATGATCTATTAAACTTAAGGATATCTAATTCATAGATACCTTAGAAAAAGCATATAGATCCAATATAAATTTACTAGCCTATTGGGCTAGACATCTATCTCCAGGATAGAACACTTATCAACAAGATATTTCTTCATATATCTTATTGATTAATTAAAGCTATATAATGTGTAGGGAACCAAATGATACTTTCACGTGAAATTAAATTTATTTATTTATTTTTTCACAGATTCATCTCTCGACAAAATTATCTCTACTAAATTTTTAAGACAGTTACTTATCTAATACTCGAATTCCATGTACTTAATGGTTAAATTAAAGATTTAGAACATAACATTTAAAATACCAGACATATATTTTTCAAATATGAATCATGCTGCAGGCGGATTGTTTAACTAGTCATCATGTCCATTAGACAAGCTACAAGTCGCATCAAGAATCCTTTGAATTATTGAGTTCGACAGCAATGGCAGCATTAAATTTAATTTGGGAGGCGAATGATTCATTGGACGTAGGCAGGTCAATAATGGCGACAAATGCATGGTTGCAAAACTTTCAATGATAAAAATGTAATCTCATGTCAGCAATTGAAATAATAATAAATATTTCTATTTAACTAACTTTGTTATTAATATTATGATGTTGATCATTTGTTCGTCAATAATGAATAATTTAAATCTTTTTGCACAACATGAACGAAAACGGGTTTCAATAACCATTGCATATCATGCTGTATATATAATTCAACGCTGATAATGGGAGCTTTGTATTATCACAAGTACGAGAAGGAACATGCATCAACAAGTAACGAAAGGAATAGAATAATTGAGACAACGAAAGTGCAAGGTACTTGAATTTCAGCATCTCTTGAATGAAATATTCGGAGAGGAATTGGAATAATTATTTCACAAAGATGCATCGAAGGCTAGCTAGTATCAAATTTAGTTAAACGTAAGTGTGAAGCGAAGCTTAAAATCTTTCAAAGCCATTATTAAATATAGAAAATAAAAGAAAATAAGCAAGCTATAGTACCATTTTACCAAATAAAATGTTACCACAATAAAATTACTTTATCACTATTGATAACATTTTGACACAATGTTACGCAATGCTATATTTCAAGCACATTAAAGTAAACTTTCCCCCATTTCGGATCCTTCACACATTAATATACTGCCATACCATTTCATATTTTATTACTATTATTTAAAAGATCCTCATCAAGAAAAGGGGAAGTGGACAACTGATAAGAAGCCCAAAATCTGAACTTGAAAATCAGGAAGATGATGAGTAAACATGTGGAGAGAGCCTGGGCTTTGGGTGCACAGATAGAGGCACTGCTCGTTGCAGGGTAAGCCCATAGGCTTCTTCCATGTCAAGCTTTTCTGGGTTAAGCCCATTTTCCAGCTCCCAATTAAATGAATGGGCAAGGGTTGCAGTTAGCAACTGAACCATGCGGAGCCCAAGGCTCATACCAGCACATATTCTACGTCCAGCACCAAAGGGTATAACCTCAAAGTCATTGCCCCTAACATCAACATCAACCTTCTCACCTCCTAGTAGGAACCTTTCGGGTTTGAACTCTAATGGCTCAGACCATTCTTTGGGGTCACGTGCTATGGCCCACACATTCACCAAGAGAGTGGCACCCTTTGGAATGTGATACCCAAATATCTCACAACTCTCATTTGCAACACGTGGGAGTGAAAGAGGGGTTGATGGGTGCAACCGGAATGTTTCCTTAATCACTGCTTGTAAGTATGGTAAGTGAGGCAAATCCTCTTCCCTCACATTCCTGTCTCGGCCCACAACAGTGTCTAACTCTTGTTGGACTTGGCCCATGATTCTTGGGTTCCGGATCAGTTCTGCAATGGCCCACTCTGTTGTGCTTGACGAAGTGTCTGTCCCAGCTGTGAACATGTTCTGCAAAATTTGGTCAATTTCATTAGCCAATGACTTATAGTTCACATTTTACATTCATTATTCTGGTTCACAAGAGGACAATTCACGTGGTTGGTGTGAAAGTGGGTCTCACAAGTCCAAGCAGGCTTTAAAATGAGGCATTGCCGTTAGGTAAGAGTTGAAAAACAATTGGATTTAACATGATAATTGAATTTTTATATTGTGACTTAATTAGTGGTAGGTTTTATATTTATTTTTTAAAAAAAAATTACACAAAAGTTGAAGATCATAATACCAGAAAATATTTTTCATACAACACGAGAAGAGAAGTGTTTTTCTCTATTCCTTATCCGTTTCACCAAACCTCATTTATTTATTAGTATTTAGCATTTTTCTAATCTTTATTGATTTGAGAAGTAGGTACACTTGCAAGTGGGACAAGTGGAAAGTAAGTTATAGAAAGGTAGGTTTAAGCGGGGGGGGAAACTCATTATTAGTATAAGATTAAGAAACAAAAAAAAAAAAAAACTCATTATTATATATCAGCTATACCAAAGGAAGAAAATTAAGAATCAAACTCAAACATGTGGACGGAAGATTCAACCAAGGTTAGAAAAATGCTTATTGACATATAAGCACTTTTCTAATACTTGTGGATTTGAGAAGTGGGCAAGTAAGTATATATGAAAAGCAAAAGAAAGGTAGGTAAGTACCAGAAGTAGTGCTTTGATCTCAGTATCAGTGAGTTTGTTTCCGTCATCATCCGGAATCTCTTTAAGTGACAACAACGTACTCAACAGATCCTTATGCTTCTCACTCTTTGAAGAACTCTTGTTTTCCTCAATAATGCTGGTTAAAAATGCATCAAATCTCTTGTGTAATTTTTTCATCTTAGCTTGCACTCCTTGAAGGTCTAGCCACTCCAAAGAAGGAATAAAATCACCTATATTGAAAACTCCAGCTAACACCATCAATTCTACCACCATAGCCTTAAACTCATCAGCTCTAGGATCACAGCCACCATTTCCATCGTTAAATACTCTTCGTCCAATCATTACCCTTCCCAATGCATTTGTGGTGCATACATTCAGTAATTGTCCCAAGTTCACAGCTTTTGACCCTGAATTCGCTAAGTTGCGTGTCAATCTTGCTACCTCTTCCTGCAAGTGAAGTTGATTAAATTAAATTAATTAATGCCATTTGAAAATGAAATGAATTAGTGGGCAATTACTCTCTCTTTTTTTCTTAACGTGAATGCTACCAATCACATGATTTTCACGCGCAATATATATATCGCAAATAATGGGACTATACCGGTCAAGTAAATGACATAATACAAGTGGCAATACTAAAGTGATATAAAAATGCATATTATTTGTGAGTTGATTTTAGAAAATGTTTAGCAAGCAATCCTGTCAGAAAGGGGAAAAAAAAGTAATCTCATAACAATAATTTTACAGAATCTTTTGAAATTATTCAAAAAATAAAGGAATATTGATAATATCAAAGTTAACCTTAATTAAAAAGACACATAACTAGCGTGACAAAAGTAGATTATTCAGTAATTATACGTTTTTTTCCTCTTAAAGAATTAAGTAACAAATTAACTACATTAATTTATAACAATACATTTTAGAGAGATAGAGAGAACAATATGCATCTTCTAAGTTTGTCAATAAGGTCGGTAAGATTAGGGGTCGCATCTTTTTGAAAATGGCACACAAGGATTATAGCATGAGACATCCCAGATACATAAAAATAAAATAAAATAAGAAAGAGTATTTGATAATTAAGTTAAAGAGATTTTATTTTATTTTCTAAAGCCTATGGGAAGTTCTTCCTGAGGTGGTGGAGGTGGCTCGAGGGGAGGGAAAAGCCAAAAAGGCGTGGGTCAACTGAAAAGAAATGCATGGCAGATCAATATTAAAAGTCACACACACAACACAAATTTAAAATGGATAACGATTATTTTACTTAGTGTAAATTATGCTCTTAATCTTAATTATTAATTTTATTTATATTTAATGATTTTGATTTATTAAATATTTAAGTTGTTAAATACAAGTAAATTAATGATCCAGATTTGATATAAGATTTCTTATTCTAATAGATAGTGATGTCCTATCTCCCTTAAAATTAATAATTTATCAAAGATAGTTGATACATAAAATCCGATTCTTAATTTTTTTAGTACTTTCATTATAAATTTTTAAAGATGTTGGTGGTCCACACCCCGCATGCTCTCGATCTTAACCTAAACTATTTTTTTTTTTTGAAAAATTAATAATTTAACTTCCTAACTATTGACTGAAGTTAGCATAGGCAATTAATAATAATTCTAGTATTCTACGGTATGCGGATATAAATAGCCTGTTTGGCATCTATTTTCTTTTTAAGTTAAAAAAAATAAAAAAATCTTCAAAAATAAAATTAAAAACTGATTGACAATTATATAAAAAATTAATTAAAAGTTTTTCATTTAAAAAAAAAATTATTATAAGAGTTTTTGTAAAAATTTATTTGTCTTAACTTTAAAAAAAAAAGAAAAAAAAAAGAAACAAATTCTAAAGAGAAAACAGTGACAGGATTTCGATCTTTTTTAATTATAATTAGCCAGGTATGTTGAAGTCAACTTGTACTGATGCTAGCCGAAGCACTATTTTAGTCTGGTAAAAAAAATAGACTATATATGCCTTGATTATGAAAGAATGAAATTCGTCACTTATTTCAATTCTTGAATTTAGTATTATTTTTTAATTTCAGCTAAAGATTTAAAAATTTACCTATAATAGTAAGTGATATACTTTATCATTATTTAAGGATAAATATTAAATTATAAATGGAATGAGTAAAATTTTAAGTTTCAAGATCATGAAATAAATTATTTAAATAAATAAATAAATTCTTTGAAAAAATGAGAAAAAAGAGAAAGAAAAGAACATAAATAAATATCTTATTTTCCGGAAAAAAATACACATCTTCTTTTCAAAAAAAATAAAAACACACAGCATAGAAATCTCTAAGTTTTAAAATGTTTTCGTGTTGAAGTAAAATAATAGTAATGGGAGTTTATCAAAAATAATAATAATAATAATAATAGTTATGGGTTGATGCAACTGAGCATTGAAGTTGTTTTTTCTTTCTTTGGGTTCGTATTTCTTACTCCTATCCTACCGAACTCTAGCATTGTGTGAATATTATTGATCGCATAAGCAGCGACGCAACCCATGAATGGTCCCACTACATAAAGAAAAGTAAATATATTTTTAATAAAAGTATAATATTTCTCATATTATAAAAAATAATTTTATCTCATATGTATATACAAAAATGTGTGAGGTCATGTGAGGAGGAGAGAGATAAAAAAAAAAAGACCTCACACACTTTTATATGTATATAATAAATAATTTTATCTACTACAACATAAGAAATGTTAAACACCCTATAATTTTGTGTTACGGAGGTGTAAATTTTTTTAAAATGTAAAAAATATAGATTAGAAAAACGCACTTCTTTACCAAGTTAGAGAAGAACCCTAATAATTTCAATAAAAAATTTACTATAAAATTATATATCTATCATAAAAAAATTTGGATCCTCTTACATGAAAAAGTGATTATATAATAATATTATTTTCTCAATGAATTATTCTAATCAAATAACATAATAAATGATTATTTTTATATAAGAGAGAATCCAAATCCAACTTTTGAACCCATAATTATCAACTACATGATGTTTACCACTGAGTGTGCAATACGTGGGACAATAAACAGCCCTTAAAATTAATTTTGTGCCTTGATATTAGAATCCACATATTTAAAGTGTCGCGTTGAAAAATAAATATATTGATATGGTCGTTATATAAATTAACTACAGTAAATATAGCTATAATGACGACAACAACAAAAATCAATAGATTTCACAGAAATATTTTTGAACGAGATAATACAAATTAACAAATATCATGAAAGGTGAAAAGAGTTAAGCGTGTAGCATTAAAAGGAAATAGGAAGTAATTACCTGACGCAAGTGTTTAAAATCATCCAAGGCCTTGCCGGAGAATAGATGAACGGAGCTAATTTTCCGGAGTAAGCGCCACCGTGGACCGTAGGGAGCAAACACAAGGTCTTGATAGTTATAAGCTATGTATTTAGCTCCGGCGTTAGGTGGCCGGCTACTAAAATTGGCATCATGAACCTTCAAGAATTGCTCGGCCACGGAGGCCGACGCCGCCACCACGACGTTCACGAACCCGAGCCGGAGGTGCATCAAAGGGCCATAGGTACGAGCCAAGGATGCTATTGAATGGTGTGGCACAGGACCTAGGTGTGGCATGTTTCCTATTATAGGCCATGGTCTAGGACCTGGAGGGAGTTGTAGTGAAGGGCGTGTTACAAATTTCACAACACGATATATGAGGATCGTTGTTGTAATTGTAACAAAGCCAATAAACCAAGGTAACATGGTTGTGGCTATGGTTATGGACAAGGATGTCGTATTGAATAACCTAGTATGATGGTGATGATGGTTAGTGTTTCTTATGAACTTTTGATGTCTGTCTCGAAAGCTCAAACTCCATGTTATATATAGAAAAGGCCCGCATCTGATTTTCTTTTTCTTTTTCTTTTTCTTTTTCTTTTTTCCTTTTTTTGAATTTTCTGAACCAATTGAAATGGTGACTTGTGTAGTTTGTATTAGACAATATAATATTTAAATTTATTAAAACGTTGACTAATACAAGGCAATTGATATTTTTTTAGTAGTTATTACATTATTTTTTAAGAGAAGGATTTGTTTACAATTTTTTTTTTTACAAATTTTTGCAAATTACACTATGTACTCCCAGGAGAATATGGTGTAACTCAGTGTTCTCCCGGGAGAACATAATGTAGTTTGTGAGAGTTTGTAAATATAACCCTCTCCTTATTTTTCTTCCATCTTTTTTATACCTTTTTAAAAAAATAATAAAACAAATTAAATACTCTCTTTTTTTTCTAGACGAAAAAAGGTATACAAAATGGTGTAAGTAACTATTAAGATGTGCAAAAGGAGAAATTTTAAGTAATTATGTAATATATATTTTCTTACTAAAATGAAAAATAACTGAATTGATCTGACATTATAAAATGAAATGAAAAAAAAACAAATGGAATTAAATGATTCGTATTTTTTAAATTTTAGTGGGCATAATACTGAATCGTATTGAAAAATTTTTATGTTCAAATGGACATTTTTAATTGAGCATTCGTTACGTGACACTGATATTTACACCGAAATAATGTAAGATGAAATTATTATTGTTATTATTATTTTATGAAAAAAGTGTTTGTTCTTTTGAACGACACAACTTATGTCATTTCACTCTCACAAAGAGGTGGGATTCACACTTTTATATTTTTTTTCCACTTTCTCTCTTCTTTATCTATCTCTTTCTCTCACTTAAAATGACACAACTTTATATCTTTTAGAATGATACACATTTTTCCATTATTTTATATCCCTAGACTGCATTAAGAATTAGTTTTTGCACATAATTTGAAAAAAAAAAAAAGGAAAGAAAATTGACCCGGATAAGTAGCTAGAAGCGTGCGCGCGAAGAACAGGTCGAGGTATAACTGGTTGTTGAAACGTGATAGCGAACTTTACAAGCGAAAAGCCGAAAACTACTGCTGCCAGTTTGGTTTATGAGTGTCCAGTGACGATGACCCATTCTTAAAATCTGTAATCAATTCTACCTGCAGGAAAACATATTCGGATAATTTTCTAAAATTAATTCTTACAAATTTTGGGGTTACAAATTTGATTTTAGAAGAAGTAGAGGCACAACTATCAATATATTATGAGTAAACACCCTTTTTAGTCCCTGACAATATCTACGAAGTCTTTTTCAGTCCCTGGCAATAAAAAAGGACCAAATTGGTCCCTGAAAGTACAAGAAAAGGGCCACTCTACATATTTGGGAGTTGACATAAGGACTAACATGGCCCTTTTTTTGTAATTTCAGGGACCAATTTGGTCCTTTTTTATTGTCAGTGACTAAAAAAGGTTTCGTAGATATTGACAGGACTAAAAAGGGTGTTTACTCATATATTATTTTGTCCAAATTATATTATAAGAGATAGAAAATTGTGCCTACCTTTCAAGCTTACTTTATCTACTCATTTCTAGTACCGTTAAATCAGAATATTCACTAACTTTTACTCTTTTTCTCTTTGCTTAAAATTCTGATCTAATGTTCTTCTTATAAAGGAGTAATTAGAATATGCGTAAAAAAGATATGCATAATATTCTATCTAATATTATAATATGTTATTTGGTGGAAATTATTTGTCACAATGTCATGATTTTTAATCCTGCTGACCTCGCAAGCGGATTAGTTTGTCATGTCATATAATCCTAATCGTTCGCCTTAAATTTCACTTATTCTTTTATTTTATCTTTTCTCTTCCAATAAATTCCATTGAATTAATATTATTTTTTGTTATTAAATTAATATTAAATTGACTAAACAAAAAAGTAATTAATAACATAAATAATTATAATTTATTTAGTGAATAATGAGGGGATAGAATCAGTGTTGTGAAACCGGGCTCGACCCAGCCGGGTTGACCTGAAACTCGGTGAACCGGTCGTCGGAGTGGTTCGAGTCAAGTATCGGACCGGCCATGCATTGAACTTAGTCAAATCGATCAAAATTAGTGACCCAGTAACCTGTTCGAGTCATGTATTTTTATAAAAATAAAAATCCGAAATTGTTTCATCTTATCAAAAAGAAAATGTATAACTCGCTTTAAAATTTTTTGTAATATTACTTACGAGTAGTATACTCTTCTACGATTACCTCAATTTCATCTTCCAATACTAAAGCAATTTGCGAAACAATAAATTAAGAGAATGTGGCATATGTCATTTCAATGTAGATAAATTTGAAAAATATGAGTTTACAACACAACATCTGGCCTTTTGAATGTCATTGAGAGGAATGTTTATGGAAATTCTGAGTTGCAATTTAAATTGACATAGTAATAGCATGCATTTTCATTTATTTGTGCTTTATGAACTTGTAAAAGTGTGATTGGGTATTTTTTAGCTTATTTAATGAATCTTGTTTAATTTATTTTAGATATGGAGAATATAATTAAATTTACATGTACATATATATATATATATATATATATATATATATATATATATATATATATATATATATATATATATATATTGGTCAACTGATCCAACCAGTAATTCAATAACCCAGTACCCCGGATACAAGTCAAATTTAATAAACTGGATAGAATATTATCTCTACTTTTTTCCTCATTATGTTACTTACTTCTTTCCTCTCTCCGATTATGTGTGGAGAAAAAATAGATAAGATATGCATTAAAAAAATAATTATAATCTATCAGAGTAAAAAGATATAAGTAAAATTGGTGCGAAAAAATATATGCATAATATCCTTTTCCATTATGAGATTGATATCAATTAATTATAATTGGTATTAATTAGGATTAGGAACATTTATTCTCTTTACTGTTTTAATGGAGTCCAAGCATAACTAATTAATATCAATTTTTTTTTTGTGAAAATATCAATTTAATTATTTTATTAATACTGAATGATATACCAATTATAATTAATTGATAGCATTCTAATCATTAACTAAAATGGTTAAATGACTCATAAATTATGATCGCTACTTGTAAATTCAAAAACATCAAATTCATTGTTTTTTTTCTAATTTGTCAAAAAATAATAATACTTTAACCAAATTGATATTATTATTATTAAATTAAATTCCAAATTGACATTAAATTCATTGAGTCAAATGATAATTAAGAAGACAAATAATTTTCATTTATATGTTGATTATTCTTCAGAATCTCTTTAAATTTTAAAAAAAAAATTATTATTAAAATAATGACAATTTCATTTTTCTTTTCCTATTTTCCGAAAAAAAAATACTCACATATATAAATAATTATTTCAATACTATTGTAATTCGTGGAATTAATATCTATTTTAGCACCTATATTTTCAATTGTAACACAACACAAGTGCTTCCGAACAAAAGCTTCAAACCCAAGGGTAGATCCAAGGAGGGCTTAGTATTGGCGGTTGTCTCGCCTAAATTTTAAATTTTTTACTAATTTATGTATAAAATAATATTTTCATAATAATAGACTATTAATACTAATAATTAGCTCCTCTTTAAAAAAATTTATAATAATTAGTATTTTTTATTAATCTTAATAATACTTATAATTTTAAGATTTTATTTTCGCCACCCTATTATAAAAACCTCTTCGTCCATCACTGTTCCAATCAAGCTTCTTACCCTTTTGATTCAAATATATTCTGTATTTTATAATTAATATAATATTCTAATTTTAATTACAAATTATTGTTTTGATAAATTAAGTTAAAGATATATATGTAGATACAAGATATGTTTTGATAATAATAAAATGGCAACAACAAAAATAGAAGATCATTAAATCAAAAGCAACAAGGATAATTAGAAGAGCAACACCAAGATCAAAGAGAACAAACCATGGACAACATCTAAAAGAAGCTCAATATCATCACCATGGTGAAAAATGATCAAAACCAACAAGTGTCAAGCATTATCATATCCAACAAGTCAAAGCATCAAACTCAAGTAAAGATCCAAGACACAAGACATGAAGTTAAATCTAAAATCATATTTAGAAGATATCTTTAGGACTTAGAATATATGTGAGGGTATATGGTAGATTGCATTGCATGAGCTCAAAGTTTTTCTCAAAGTAAACGTGTTTTTCGAATTGCATAATCATAACATTTATATACTTGAAAGAAATTTGAAAAATTCATGGAAAAGATCCTTGACATATTTTATAACTTCAACACATATTTATCAAGTCAAGATCTTTCACAAAAAGTGATTAGAAGCAAGCTAGAACACATTTGAACTTAAAATTTATTGCATAATTTCGCTGCTGACTTGCATATAATTTTTTATATCCAAGATGATGGATTTGGATTTTGTATTCTTCATAGAAGTTGTAGATCTTTCGTTTATCTTTCCAACAAGACCAAGATCACATCAATCTGACAAAAATAGCTCAAGTTATGCTCAAAATACAAAACAATGTTATTGTTGTCAAATTTCCAGCCTTCCAATAGGTTGGAAATCGATTCCCTGTACATAGGAATCGATTCCCCAACTAGGAAATCAATTACCACCGTGTGGGAATTGATTCCCTATTCCTGAAAAGGTTGGGAATCGATTCCCTAAGTATAGTAATTGATTTCCACTGCGACAGAAAGCCTATAACGGCTATAAATGACTAGTTTTGTTAAAAATCACTATAAATACATTCCTTATGATCCTAAAACGTTAAGATCACTATTCCTACACATCGTAAGGATGATTTGAGAGCTTTTACACTATCATTTTCATATTCTTTCATATCTTTCAAAGATCAAACATATTTGAGCTTATATCTTGAAAATCCATATACTCATAGTGCTTCAAGTTGTATATCCACACTTTGAAAGTGTATATTCATTTCCAAATATT